GCAGGCAGTAAGTTTTCAGTGGAAAATAGACTTCATGGAAAATTTAGCTAGTGGTCATTCGTATAATATTTTGTGTCAACGTTGTTCTTATTTTCTCTATTCCCTGAGAGATTGAGTAAGGAAGAATTAAAAACTAACTGGGCTGATTTCTTAGATGAAGTATTAATTATGAGTTATTACTCATTTAGGTCTATAGTGAAAAACAAGTGGGGTAGAAAGAAATGAAAAGTCCGTGTTTTGTAGAGAAAAACAGCACTAGGTACTTTGAGATGACAGTCCAGTAGTGAAACAGAGGTAGGAAATTTCAAGGTGTTTAGCACCATTGAAGAGAAGGCCCTTGCTCTGCATTGGAAGCCAAGGAAGGTACCCTAAGGGTCAGATCCCATCCAGTTAAACTTTCAATTTATGGGAGGAATAGACAAAGTGATTCCTCGTCTCAAGAAGCAACTTCATACAGAATCTGCTGCAACTCTGGTCCAATTATTGTAGGGCCCATCACAACTTGGAAACCAAATTTGGTGGCTCAGCAATGTACTAGTTATGGAAACAAGAAAGATGCAAATTTTAAAGGTCATGGATTCTTCCTCTGTGGTTCCAGTTCAGCACTGTTGTACACATCTTTGGCAAAGTCAGAAACCCAGTGAGAGACTAAGAATTCATTGTATAATTCTCTGAAAATTAAGTCTGTGTTGTATTTTGAGATTATAGGATGTTGAGATACCCAAGCAATAAGACATCCGCCATGGAGAGTTGCATGCAAGTGTGGAAGTAGAAAAGCAGACACAGGTGTGAACATTTTCAGAGACAGAGCTATCAAAGCCCTTTGAGAATGAAACTCCACCTGTCTGTGACGGAGCTACAGGATTTGGTATTTGCCCTGCTGAGTTCAATCCTCCCTCACTTATCCACATTCCTTTATTTAAAAAAAAAAGTTTATTCCTCTCTCATGCAATACAAATTGATATAGGAAATTTCAAGGTATTTAGCACCATTGAAGAGAAGGCCCTTGCTCTGCTTTGGAAGCCTATTAAGGTACCTCAAGGGTACCTAAGCCTTCAATTTATGGGAGGAATAGGCACACAACTTCTCATACAAACTGATTACAGTTCCCCTCCCTCTACTCCTTCCAGTGCCCTCCCCACTCCCCTGTCCCCCAGATTTACTCCTCCTCCATATCTCTTCATAACAGAGCAGATATCATAAGAATATCAACCAAACATGGTATAACAAATTACAAGACTAGGCATAAACCCCTGTAAATGGAGACTACTTATTCATTTCTTGACCTCCCAGATCCAAATAATCACTCAAAAACTATATTGATTACAACATTCGCCAATAGCTTAGATGTATTCCTAACCAGCTCTTATATCTTAAATTAACACATTTCTATTAATCTGTATATCGCCACGAGGCTGTGACTTACCAGTAAGGTTCTAGCATTCTTCTTCTTCTTTTTTTTTTTATTTTTCGAGACAGGGTTTCTCCGTAGCTTTTGGTTCCTGTCCTGGAACTAGCTCTTGTAGACCAGGCTGGCCTCGAACTCACAGAGATCCGCCTGCCTCTGCCTCCCGAGTGCTGGGATTAAAGGCGTGCGCCACCACCGCCCGGCACTAGCATTCTTCTTCTTAAACAATTACATGATATCACTTTGACTCCTCCTTTCCTCCTCTCTCTCTCCTTGGAATTCCCACCTTGCTATATTCTGCCCTGCCATAGGCCAAAGCAACTTCTTTATTAACCAATGGTAACAAAACATATTCATAGCATACAGAGGGGAATTCCACACCAAACCCCATATGAAGCCTTGACTAGGAGGAGAAAAAGGGTCCTAAGAGCAGAAGAAAGAGTCAGAGACACCCTCCCCTTCTCCCACTGTTAGAAGTCTCACAAATACACCAAGCTACACAACCTTAATGTATATGCAGTGGACCTTGCTAAGACTCTTGAAGTCCCTATGATTGCTGCATTAGTCTCTGTGCACCCGCACAAGACCTCTTTAGTTGATTCTGTGGGATGTGTTTTTCTAGTGTCCTTTAGGAAAATTTTTGACTTAGATGCATTTGAAAATATTCTCTGGGCCTTTGAGCTGGAATTCTCCCCCTTCGTTTCTATTTTTCTTAGCTTTGATCTTTTCATAGTGTTCCAGAGTTCCTGAATGTTATATTTCAGGAAACTTTTTATATTTAACATTTTCTTTGACTGGATACATCCATTTCTTCTGTTGTATCTGCATTGCTTGAATTTCTCTGTTCCATGTCTTGTATTCTTTTTTTGAAGCTTGACTTTATAATTCCCATTCGCTTACCTAGATTTTCATTTCTAGAATTCCTTCAGATTACATTTTCTTAATTGCTTCTCTTTCCATTCTCAGGACTTGAACAGATTCATTCATTTGTATCAACTTTTTTTCCTTAGCTTTCTTTAATGTATTTATTCATTTCCTTTTTAAGGACCTCTATCATCTTCATAAAGCTGGTCTTATTGTCTTTTGCTTGTGTTTCAGTTGTGTTGAAACATTCAGGGCTTGCTGTCATAGGATAGCGAGAATCTGGTAGTGACGTATTGCCCTGGCTGTTGTTGATTGTGCTCTTACTCTGGTGTCTAGGTATCTGGCTTTGAGGTGCTTATGGGTCTAGGTGCTGATTTCTCAATTTGTCTTTGTTGGTTGAGTGTTTTGTTCCTCGGTTTCTATCTGCTCTCTGATCTTCTGGTTTGTGTGGCCTATGGTTAGACATGCATTCCCCCCTCCCAAGATAGGGGCTGGAAATCTGGCAGTAGGCGTGGCTATAGTTCCATCAGAGAGTCTCTGTCCAAGTTATGGGTTGAAAAAAGCAAAGAGGGGTGGGTCTTGAGGATAGTGTTGAAGGGACACTGAGAGAGTGTGGGAGCTCTGCAGGAGGGTGGCCTACATGAACTTCTGGCAGACGGTGTGTCCTTTGTTCAAGCAGGGGTCTGTGTCCAAGTTGGGGGCTAACACACAGTAATGAGGAGGGATGGTGTCTGGGGGTTCTGATGAAATGCTACAGCAAGTGAAAGCACTTAAGGTATCTGAGGGTGAACAAGCTGTTCCAAACAGGTCTCTTTTCTTCTGCCTCTTCCAATTCTTTCATAATTCTAATACCTCCTCGCTTCTTCTCTAGTCTAAAACTTCCTCTCTTTCAGGAAGCTTGAAGCTAAAGAAAAAGTTACCTCTCATTGGTCAAAAGCACATTCCTAGGGTAAGTGATAAGAAATTGAGCCAATGACCATGGCAACAAGGTTTCAGGAGTAAGGCTGTGATCAGAGAAAGCAGGAACACAGTGCACAGTGACAAACTTTGAGACATAGGTGTCTATTTCGAGCTAGACTTAGCAAGTGAAGAATTGGCAAGCCTTTCTTAGGGTGTTTTGTGTTAGCAACCTTGGTTTGGACACCTGCAACTCTGACCTTGTTGCTCTGGAGTAGAAACCTATCAAGGTGCCCTAAGGGTGAGACTCCACTCACTTTTAATTTATATAAGGAATAAGCATAGTGTTTCCTACTCCCAGGAAGCAATTTCATACAAAACCTGCTGCACCTGTGGTCCAAGTATGTTAGTGTCCATTCCAATTGAGAAGTCAAATTTTGCAAGATCACCCTTGATGTGGCAGCCCTGGAAACAAGAAAGAATCAAAATTGAAGGTTATGGATTCTTAGTCTGTGGTTTCAGTTCGGCATTGATGCAGGCATCTATGCTTAGGAGTGACAGAAACCCAGTATGGATACTGTGAGAGTCCATTGCATGAAGCTGTGAGGACAAAGCCTGGGTTGCATTTTGAGACCACAAGATGTTGAAATACCAAAGCTGTAAGATACCTGCCATGGAGAGGTAGCTACATATATGGAATAGCAGTACACACAGAGATGTATGAGAAGTTTCAGGGATAGGGCTATCTACGCCCTTGGAAACTGAAGCCCCATGCATCTGAGACAGAGCTGTAGGATTTGATGTTCTGTCCTGTTGTGCTTCAGTCTGGCCTTCACTATGTTCCCATTCCTCTCTTTTGGCGTGCAAATGGATATTCTGTGCCATTGTTGTATATTGGAAAGATGTAACTTTTTTCTGATTTTACAAAATCTCACAGACAAGAGATTGCCTTGAGTGTTGGAAGATACTTTGGACATTTTCAACAGTGTAGGGGCTGTTGCAGAATATGAAAACCATTGAAGTGGGGGCTGGAGAGATGGCTCAGAGGTTAAGAGCATTGCCTGCTCTTCCAAAGGTCCTGAGTTCAATTCCCAGCAACCACATGGTGGCTCACAACCATCTGTAATGAGGTCTGGTGCCCTCTTCTGGCCTGCAGGCATACACACAGAAAGAATATTGTATACATAGTAAATAAATAAATATTAAAAAAAAATCATTGAAGTGACTAAATGCAATTTCTTCACGGATGACATGGGTCAGAATCCCTAACACTTTGTAAGAATTTTAGCATAAACAAACAAACAAACAAATAAATGTGGGCTCTGAGATCTATCTTTTTTGTTTCTTTGAATGATTTTTACCCAGGAGTCCAGGTCTTAATATGTACTTCTGAACTGATGCATAGACTAGGTTGGCATACAACTCAGGGGCAGATAAACCTGCCTCTGCCTTCTGAGTCCTGGGGTTAAAAGGCATGAGTCAATATGCCCAGATTGCCCATATTATTTTTCGGTTTTTGTAGTTAGTAATTGTTTAAATAATTTCTCTAATATATACTTTGTACTGTTGATTGTTTACTTGTCTCTTTATGTTTGTTTATAGTCATTTTTTCTTGCAAGGTGATAGCCCATTCAAACAGTACAGAAATGTCAGAGGTGAACCTCCTATTCAGTTTCCTTCTAAACTAACTTGGTAAACATATTATAATATCCTTGTCATAGAATAAGTATGGGGAGCACCAGAATTATATGACTATGTTGTCAAAGAATTATACATTTACAATGTTGTCAGTATCACAGTTTTTGTTGTTTACATGTGTGGGGTGTTTTAGAATACAGTGACCTATGATGATTTACATATCGACTTCACTTGGAAAGAATGGGCTTTGCTGGATCCTTCCCAGAAAAATCTCTACAAAGATGTGATGCTGGAGACCTACAGGAATCTCGCTACTATAGGTAAGACTGAATTTTCCTTTATGTTTTCAAATAAAGGGACAACTGTTCCTTGGTTATTAATGTTCTTCTGTAATTTGATTGAGGAAGAGGACGAATGAGGTATGTTACAGGAATTCTAATTGTTCTTAATAAATACCCAGAGACATATTGGGGTTAAAGGTGAAGATCAGAGAAGTAGCTAGAGAGTTCCCACCTCTATCAATAGTCAGACCGAATGGACAGTCCTGTCCTCAGAATGACTGCAGACTGCATTGAGCTCCTGTCTCCTCCCCCTTTATATTCATCTCTAGTGCTGGGATTAAAGGCATGGGATCCCAAGTGCTGAGATCATCTTTTATGAGCTCTGTTTCCCTTTTTGACTGGATCGGTTTTGTGTAGCTCAGGGTGGGCTTGAACTATCAGAGATCTATCTGCTTCTGTCTCCCAAGTGCTGGGATTAAAGGTGTGTACCACCACTGCCTGGCCTCTTTGGCTAACTAATATGGCTATTGATATTAATGGTGTGTAGCACCACTGACTGGCCTCTATGACTGTGTCTAGCTTTGTGCTCTGATCTTCAGGCAAACTTTGTTAGATCATAAATAAAATATTACCACAGAGGTGAATAAATCAGGCATGGATCTAGGGTTCACTGAAGATGGTAACTTAAGTTTTACACAATTTTCAATAATATACCATACACTTTCTTGTACTATATTTTAGGATACAATTGGGAAGACCATAGAATTGAGGAATATTATCAGAATTCTAGAAGACAAAAAAGGTAATTTTTATGTGCAAGATGATACAAATGTGCCTCTGAAGAAATTGTAATGTGTCCTTGAAGTTTTAAAGAAAAGGAAGCATGTAAATAAGCACAACTTAAAAGTGTATGGATATTTACAAAATTCTCATAAAACCATATACCTCAATTTCAGAAAGATGAATTGAGTTTGCCAGGCATTCCACTCAGGAAGAAGACAAAGAAACAATGCCTTACCAGATATCACCATTTGATCAAAGCCTCATTATAGCTATGGTATAGAACTGCCAATCCATTTAGTTTTGTACCACTCATGTTACAGAAGGCACACACGTTGAAGAGGTGATATGTATATGTCCAAACCTTCTAATAAGCAAATGGTCCGTGGTAAAGCAATGTTACTCATATACTTGTTTTAACTTTACTAAGTTAAATGAGAAGAGCAGTTGGAGTCAAAAGTCAAGGGGTGTTTGTTGTGGAGAAACCTTAAACACTATACCACATTTATGAGGAACAGAAAGTAAAACTATAAATTCAATGTGGAAACCATTTATTTGTTATTTTTCCTTTACTAGGTATATCATATGTCACCCTGGATACAAGACATATGAGCATAGGGACATGGAAATATGTAACATAACCCTTCTCAGAATGATTAGAAGATTTGTAGTAGTCCCCACTTTTGAGTAGATTTGTTAAATTTGATTCAGGTATACAAGTGGTTGGGTTTGCAACTTTACTGTTAATACATCAACAAAAATCACACTGCAGAAAAGCCCTATGAGTGCTAGGAATGTGTAAATAATTCCTTTTGTCCTAGTTCACTTAGCTATCACTCACAGCATAGGAAAAATTTTGAATGCAAGAAGTGTGGTAAAGATCTGAGTTTTTCCAGTTCTTTTCAAATATGTAAAAAAAAACCTCATTTAGAAAGAAAGATTCTATAAATGTAATAAAGGCTTTTACTATTACAGTTATCTTCAAAGATGCAAAACAGCCCTTAATGAAGTGGAAAAACATGAGTGTAAATAAAATGATAAAACCTTAAGATCTCATTCCTCTTTACAATCAGACTAAATTGATGAAATTAATTTATACAAATATGAAGATTCAACAGTGTAATGAATGTGGTAAAACTTACATGTGCCAATTATTCTTGCAGGTCTGAAAGAAGTCATACTGGAGGGAAAACATCTAAATATACTCTATGTGTTAAAGGCTTTGCAAATCATAGTCATCTTCAAAGGCTTGAAAGAATTCAGACCGGAAAGAAACCCTATAAATGTAATCAATGTGGTAAAGCATTTGCACATCGTGGTAGTTTTCGAGTCCATAAAAGAATGCATACAGGAGAGAAACCCTATAAATGTAATCAGTGTGGTAAATCCTTTGCATGCCCCAGTAATCAACGATTACATGAAAGAATACATACTGGAGACAAACCCTATAAATGTGATCAATGTGGTAAAACCTTTGCACGTTCTTCTAATCTCCATATACATAAAAGAACACATACTGCAGAGAAACCCTATGAATGTAATCAATGTGGCAAAGCCTTTGCACGTCAGAGTCATCTTCAATGCCATGAAAGAACACATACTGGAGAGAAACCCTATGAATGTAACCAGTGTGGTAAAGCCTTTGCACGTCACTTTACTCTTCAGATACATAAAGGAACACATACGGGAGAGAAACCCTATGAATGTAATCTGTGTGGTAAATCCTTTGCTTGTCACCGTACTCTCAAATTACATAAAAGAACACATACTGGAGAGAAACCCTATGAATGTAACCAATGTGGTAAAGTCTTTAGATATCGCTGTAATCTTCAGATGCATGAAAGACTACATACTGGAGAGAAACCCTATGAATGTAATCAGTGTGGTAAAACCTTTACACATCATAGGCAACTTCAAAGTCATAATAGAACACATACTGGAGAGAAACCCTATGAATGTAATCAATGTGGCAAAACCTTTGCATATCCTAATGCTCTCCAAATACATAAAAGAATACATACTGGAGAGAAACCATATGAATGTAGTCAATGTGGTAACACCTTTGCACATTACAGTACTTTTATAAGACATGAAAGTACACATACTGGAGAGAAGCCCTATGAATGTAATCAATGTGGTAAAGCCTTTGCACGTCAGAGTCATCTTCAAAGCCATAAAAGGACCCATACTGGAGAGAAACCCTATGAATGTAACCAGTGTGGTAAAGCCTTTGCATATCAACATAATTTTCAAATACATAAAAGAATACATACTGGTGAGAAACCCTATGAATGTAATCAGTGTGGTAAAGGTTTTGCATGTGTCAGTACACTTCGGAGTCACGAGAAAAAATACTGCAAAGAAACCCTATAAATGTAGTCTGTTTGGTAAAATTTGCCCTTTATATAGAAGTAAACTTTTTGTGTGCAATCTGTTAAAGCCTTTGCATATTATATCAATATTTGTGTACCTAAAAAAAACCTAATAATGAAAGGGCTTCTTACTATAAAGTATTTGGTAAGATTTTTAGCCAACACACCTACATGCAGTTATACAAGAGTATTCAGGGGAAAAACAATTGACAATGTCAGCAATCTGTTCAAGCATTGTGGTGTCCATCTTTATTTTGTTTGTACCTGCAAATCCTTGTTGGGGGGAGACCCTTTGAATTTAAATGATAAGGTAACCCTTTTGTATTTCATACTTCTCTTTAAGTACATGTAATAACCAATTCAGTTGTAAACCTTTATGGATTTGTGGTAGTGCCTTTTCTGTTGTGATAAAATATGTCTGCATCAACTTATGAAAGAGTTTAATTTGGTCCTTGGTTCCAGAGAGATACAGGATCAACATGAAAGTGGCAACAAGTGTCAGATAATATCAGTTAAATCAGGAGGCTAAGAACTTACATCCTTAATTTGTATCATGAAGAGTGGGAACTGGAGGGTGTGACTGTAAATTCTCAAAGCATACCCCCAGTGACAAATTTCCTCCAGCAGGGCAGCATTTCCTAAATCTTCCCAAATGATGCCACCAACTGAAAAGGACTAATTTCTCTGACTTCAAGCCTACATACTTGTTTTCTGTTGTATGAACCAATTCATGATGAAGAAAAATTCTTTAAATAACCCTTTAGATGCCTCAACATCTGTGTCACAAGAATAAATGCTTATAAAAATTTTCATGAGTGAAATTTTGTTTAAAGATTTGTTTTAATTTTAATTATGTGATGTCACTGTGTATTTGTTTGAGTATATGCATTTGTATGCTGGTTCCTGAGAAGGTTAGACCCTCGGATTGTCTTGTAGCAGGAATTACAGGAAGTTGTCAAAAACCAGACCTTAGTCCTGGGAATGAACTTTTCTTAACTGCTCAGCCATGTCTCTAGCTCTGTAATATTTTAAAGCCTATTTGTATAATTTTGAACTAAGGAAATAAGGAAGAGCTCATACATGGGGAAAAAACCTGTTCATGTAAATGATTTCATAAAGATTTTAGACCTCACAGTTGTCTTCTGGCTCAGGACAAAAAGTTTGTTTCATTTCTTATTCATATAACCTTCAGGGATTATGAACCTTACCATGTTCACTGAAGACAGACGGTGGAGATCACTGCATTGTGGTTTCTATTTTGTTTTATTTTTTTAAAGATTTATATATTATATATACAACATTCTGCCTTGATGTATGCCCGCGTGCCAGAGGAGGGCACCAGATTTCAGTACAGATGGTTGTGAGTCACCATGTGGTTGCTGGGAATTGAACTCAGGACCTCTGGAAGAGCACATTTCTCTCTCGCCTGTGGCCTATCTACCAATGCTCAGGAACCTGACTTTTCCTGCTGCAGCCTGACATTGAGGGGACTTGTGACTGAGGGGAAGCTTTGGGTGTCCTTATCCTGGCCACCAACTGGTGGGGGTGGTTTTTCTGTCTGTGTGTTGCCTTTGTTGGTTAATGAATAAAGAACTAGCTTGGCCTATAGCATCTGAGGAGGAAGGCAGAATCATACAGAAGCCATGGAGCTACAGAGACAGATGCTGGGAACTTTAACTGGTAAGCCACAGCCACATGGTGATACACAGATTAATAGAGAGAGGTGCCGGAGACCAAGGCGGAAAAGGTTGAGGAGCTCGTGCCCAGCGCCACCACTACCACCACGGGCAACATGCCCTCTGTCCCGAGTAGGAGGGACCAACCTCCCTTTGCCAACTGTCTCATGTAGCTGTTGAACAGCCAGGGACATCTGCTGAGTACACAGTCTGATTTATATTTACACTAAATAACTGCTTTTAATCCGAGCAACTCCAGCAGCTGATTGCCTACCCTGTTTCCCCCTGCAGTGTACACAAGAAATTAATTTTCCTCTTCTGGTCTGAATACAGAAACCATACTTCACATGTAAATCCTTTACCTATTACTGCAATGGACAGTTTACTACATGACCCAAAGGGTAAATTTAAAACTCAGTTGCCACACCAACTCCAGTGTCATTTGTGTGACATGACATACGTCATTATGCCGGAGAGGAGTTACATGTCCTATGGGACTAGGCTTCCTGGAGGTCAATGGCAGATGGCCTGGTACTAGCCACCATTGAGGCATAGATGGGTTTCTCGATTAGCTGGCTATGTGAGATATGGGCTTTGTATTGTTGGGCCCTAAAGCCCCACCGAGGAGGAGGTCGCCCCAAGAGACATTCTCAGCATGGTTGATGCAATAGCAAGAGGAATTTTTATCCTGCCACAGCAGAGGTCCCTCAGCCTCGAGAGGAGAAGGATGCCCGCTTTGTCTATTACAAGCTCTTTTAAAGGAAAAACCACAAAATCAGGGAGGGGGTAGTACAGAATAAAAGGGAAATGGCCAAAAATCATTTGTCAACTATTTTGACTAGTTTATTCAATGGTCAGCTAACTCTACTCGATCAATGTTATGGCGATTACAAGGAGGAACACCTGCAGGTCGTCTCACCCCAGTTCCAGGGTCCGGGTCTATTGATGAAAGACTACAATGGGGATGGAAAGTACTCAAAAAGCTCCAGTGCACGCGAGGTTGGTTACCAGGGTCCTGGTTTCCAGGAGGGGGGGGTGCAGTAATGCTAAGGTGCCTCCTAATGCTAAGGGCCTGGTTCCCAGGAAGGGGGGTGCAGTAATGCTAAGGTGCCTCAAAATCTTTCCCCCCTTTGATTTGGTCAAATCTCAATCTTGAGATTCTCAGGGATTATCCCTAAGGGCATGATATTGCTGGGTCAACACCAAAGCTTGAGTAATGGTAAGTCGCTTGCGAATGAACATCAGGAGTCGATTGAGGATACAGGGCCCAAAGGTTAGTATGAGTAATAGAATGATCAAGGGACCAGTGATGGTGGAAATGAGTGTCGTGAACCAGGGGGAGCGGTTAAACCAGCCTTCAAACCAATTTTGATGTGCCTCTCTGCCTCTTGTCTAACCTGTCTCTGAGTTTAGCCATTGAATCCTTAATTACCCCAGAGTGATCTACGTAGAAACAACATTGTTCCTTTAGGGTAGCACAGAGTCCTCCTTCTTGAAGAAATAGCAAGTCTAACCCACGCCTATTTTGTAACACTACCTCAGAAAGAGAGATTATTGAATCTGCAAGCTTGGTGATAGATTGTTCTAGGGTCCTTAAGTCCTGGTCAATAGAGCAGGATAATAAAAGACCCTTGGAACTAGTCGAACGAGCACACAGTAATCTTTGGTACCATCAAAAACCGATGTTGCCATGCAAGGCGTCAGGCCTGTACCACAAGCCCACCATTTATCTGAATCAGGGATCAGGTATCCAGTTTTAGAAGTTTTAGGGCTCTTAAGGGTTTCATTACATAAATGTTTGTAAGAAGCCGGTGGATTTCCCAAGCATGTCCCTGCACCAGTAACCTCTGTAAGAGTTAGTTTATGACTAGTTCCCCAAGCACAGCCGTCCTGGCTAGTTGTGTTGTTGAAACCCCCGGATATTGCAATCCCTTCATAGTATGGGAGTCCTGCTGATAGGCATAGCCAGCAAGATTGTGTCATATTGGGGTCAGTATTATTCAGCAAAGAAAAAGCTCCCACTATTAGATTAAACAGTTGCTGGCCTGTATTAGAGAGTGCCAGTGGTGAAGCAAGGGTATCAGAGAGATTTTTAGGACGTGGAGGGGGACCCAGGGCCTGGTAAGGGGGGGGCTACCTCAGCCAGGGCTAGGTGTCCCTGGTCAGGCAATACCAGGTTGGGCCCTAGTGCTATGGTCATTGGAGGCATTATAACAACTCATAGGGTGAACAGAATCCCTATGTCTTCCCCTCCGGGATTATACAACCGTAAACCCCAAGTATTACCTGTTAACCAATTAACTTTTTTCCCCCTTCTCCGTGAAGGTGATTGTGATTTCAGATTCCCCTGATGTGGTACGAGTGAAAGAGACTAAGTCCTCTTTGCCAATTCCCAACCAGGAGGTACTGACACTGGTTTCACATCCCCAGGCAGCACAATAAAACATTTCAGCCCCCCCCCCCACTGCCAAGTTCGTCTTCCCCCAGGACAAATAAGAGTTCTCGAGAGTTTGTTCAGTATCCCCCCAAGAGTCCTTTGTTAGAGCACATAGGTCAAAATTTATCTGGGGGAACCAGGTATCCAGGGGATGAACTCCAGTGGCTAGCCTTAAGACTTGCCCAGTCTCAAAGTTAGTCAGAGTCCAGGTTAAGTCCTGAGGTGTACAGGGGGTTTTTAGCACTATATGTGGAAGGAAACATCAGGGCAAAGAACAGCAAGCCTGGTAGGATCAGTCTTTCTTGACTAATCTCAGTTTTAGAGGATTTGGGGTATGCTGAAGCTTCCATTTGGAAGGTTTCGGGTCGTCCTGTGGAGGTGCTGGCTTGATGTGAGATGCGTGGATCCAAACTGCAATACCATCCACTTTGAGGGCTGTAGGTGTCATAAGAAGCACAGTGTAGGGTCCCTTCCAGCGAGGTTCAAGGTTCTGGGACCAATGTCTCTGAATGTACACAGAATCGCCAACCTGGAACAGATGCGAGATCTCCGGATGCCCAGGCTGGTAGGCAGCAGCTAGGGACCTTGACTGGTCAATGAGAATGAAGAAGAAACCAGCTGATGAGTGACCTCCAGTCTCTCTGACATTCAGTGTGTGATTATAGATGAAGAGGGATCTGTGCAAGAATTGAGTGCATAGACAAAGCTTGAAGCTGGTAGATTCACAGTACAGAAAGGGAGAGACAGGACAGTGGTTGAGAACTTTCCTACTTCAACAGTAGCTGAGATTAGCCATGTGGAACTAGGTAATCGATTTTAGATGCTCCATAAATGTCCTGATGGTCATTTCTTGGTGTCCACAGACCAGGCAATCAAGAATCTGGACTGATCTTATTATGAAACCAAATTGCTATAGCTATATTAGTTCAACCAATATAGATAGATCAGAGTGAAATGTTGTGGCCCTGCCTAACAGGACTCTTATTTAACTGGTTTTAGATATATACCCTGAGATAAAAGGTTTGAGAAATCTTGGATGTGCTTTAATACAAATCCCTAGGTTCTGGAGTCCATGGCCATAAATCCTGTTTCAACTTTTCAAAATAATTTCTTGAGATTATAACTATATCATATCCACATTTTCTTTCCTGTTCCCAAGCCCTACCATGACCACTCAGTGTCTTCTAATTTATGGCCTATTTTTCTTTAACAACAGTTGTGAATGTGACCTGTGTTTGGCTGCAGGATTTTCCAGATATGAAGCCATGGGTTGGCTGTACTGCACATTTAGTGTGCAATGGGATGTGCACACAAAGGACCCTGTGCTTTGGATGAGGAAAAGGATATGTTCTCGGAAAGTGGAGTAATGTCTACTAAAATACTAACTTTCTAAACTAGGACCCTGTTCCCTGGACTGGAAGGTCAGAGCAGAAAGTTCTGTTATATCTGAGTAATTTGATCTCTGATCACCAAGTGTGGGAGCTGATAATATTCTGAGGCCCAGCAGGGTGGTGTTAGCCAGTGAGGGACTTTGGGAAGGCTTAGCATGCAGGAACAATAGTGGTAGGTAGCTTATAGGTGTTCTTTCCAGGATTCTTCTCTGCTTCTGTTGTAATGAGTTGTAAGGAAGACCACTAGCTCTGCCATGGTGAGTGCAGGGTGTTCAGAGATGATCTGTTGAGCTGTCATTTCTGCTGGGATTTTGATGGACCATGAGCTAGGCTATGGTTGTGTTGATTTATGTAGTGACCTGGCCAGTGGTCCTTGTCTCTGAGCCTCCCTGAGTATGGATTTCCTGGGAAGAGGGATACTCTGCAGCTGTAGTATGGTAGGATATTATGCTTGTAATATCAATGTCTAGTGTACACATAGGAGTGTGCTTTTTGTGTGCAGTGGGAAGACAGATTGGAAAACTGAATATTGCATTCCACTTTCAAGTTTGTAATATAAGTGTTTCAAATAGTTTAAAAGGTAGTAGAACTGTGGTGATATTGATTGTCTTTTGGCTATACATGATTAGAATGATACGAACTTTCTGTTATCACCAGTCACAATGATACGATTCAGTGATGTTTAGTTCCAGGGACAAAAGGAGCACCAAGTGTTCTCAAGTGTGCATGGTGTTGGGCAGATAGATAGGGCAGAATCTATATTTTGTGATACAATCCTTGTGACAGGAAGCAGATATTAAATTATTCTATTTTTCTAAATATTTATCTTAAATATGTTCACATTCTTGATCGTTATAGCTTTGTTGTAGGTTTTTTTTTTTTTGAGTTTTGGGTTTCTCTGTCTTTGAACTCACAGAGATCTGCCTGTGTCTGCCTCCCAAATGCTGGGATTAAAGATGTACACCCCCACTTTCCAGCAAGAAGTCATATTTTGTCAATCTGTGAACTATTTTTTTATAATCTTATTGATCACTCTGAGTGTTTCCACTATGAATGTAGCTTTGTTATCAGCTTTTCTGTTACAAATTGTTGGAAATTGTCATTGAATTGTATTCATTTTATGCTCTGTACACAGCATCTTACTTTTGAGGTATCAAGTTCCCAAAAATTAATTATATTCTTATTTATTTACTTAGGTTTTATTTTTCTTGTTGCTGTTAATCTGTGAAATACTTTTGATTTATTGGATAAAATGTCTTTGCAGGTGGTTCCTCATATATTCTGATTTCAGACACCAACTCATAGACTCATAAATATCTACTACCCCAGATCCTGTATACATATATAGAACATTCATTCTCATGTGCAGACATTTGCAAAATATAGCAAATGTTTTTGAAAGTGTTTGTGGCTGGGTGGTGGTAGCACACTACTTTAATCCTAGCACTCAGGAGGCAGAGGCAGGCAGATTTCTGTGAGTTCGAGGCCAGCCTGGTCTACAAGAGCTAGTTCCAGGATACGCTCCAAAGCTATAGAGAAACCCTGTCTCAAAAAAACCAAAAAAAGTGCTTGTGACTTATAAAAAATTATAAACTGAATTGCTTTAGGTATATACCAATTCTTTAAAAGTCTGTTATCTTGTATTATATTTTAAAATGTTTTCATTTTCTCACTTTGAAGAAGACTTATTGGCAATCATAAATCAAAGTGAAGAATCCAAGGATTAGAATATAAGAGTGTAGCTTCCAGAAATAGAAATGTAGAAATAAAGAAATATAAAGTTGTAAGCCTAGGAGAATGAGAACAGACTGTCAGCAGCTTTTTTTTTTCTGAGATTTTGAGACAGGGTTTCTCCGTAGCTTTTGGTTCCTGTCCTGGAACTAGCTCTTGTAGACCAGGCTGGCCTCGAACTCACAGAGATCCGCCTGCCTCTGCCTCCCGAGTGCTGGGATTAAAGGCGTGCACCACCACCGCCCGGCTTGTTAGCAGCTTTCTTTGCAGCTTAAGGTGATGTGGGATTTTCCTCTGTATGCTGTGAATATCATTAGTGAATAAACAAGCTGCCCTGACCTGTTTATAGGGAAGAACTTATGTAGGCAGGGAAAATTAAACTGAATGCTGGGCGAAAGAAAGTCAGAGTCCTGAGAAGCCATAGAGCCTCTGTTGGAGACAGACATGCTGAAACTTTGCTTGTAGTCCAGGACCTCATGGTTATGCACAGATTAATGGTGTGGATAAATTAAGATGTAAGAGTTAGTCAATAACAAGCTAGAGCTAATGTGCCAAGCAATGATTTAAATAATATAGTTTCTGTGTGATTATTTCAGGTCTGAGCTGCTGAGCAGCTGGGAAACAAGTGGCCTTCTTCAACATTAAGGATTATTAAGCAGTGGATTTACTTTGCTTTACAACTGATAGTTCTGCCTGAAAGCCTGAAGCATCCCTCTGCAAACTGGGGGTCCCTCTTCAAACTGAGCATCCGCTTTTAGATAACCCACTGACCACTCATGACTAACAACTGTCATGAGCCGAGTTAACTTTTAAATGATGGGATGTACATGACATTTTAGTTGTGCATTGTCTCATACTTTTCCTGATATGCAAAACTGGCAGTATCAAGGGATTGCAGAACTTCAATAAACACCATCAGAAAGTGGCAGAGAGAAACAATAGGCTAATATGGAAAAACAAAAAACCCAGGATAGCCAAAACAATCTTATACAATAAAGGATCGTCCGGAGGCATTACCATCCCTGACTTTAAACTCTATTACAGAGCTACAGTATTGAAAACAGCTTGGTATTAGCATAAAAACAGAGAAGTCAACCAATGGAATCGAATAGAAGACCTTGACATTAACCCACAAACCTATGAACACCTGATTTTCGATAAAGGAGCTAAAAGTATACAGTGGAAAAAAGAGAACATCTTCAACAAATTGTGCTGGCAAAACTGGATGTCAACCTGTAGAAGAATGAAAATAGATCCATATCTATCACCATGCACAAAACTCAAGTCCAAATGGATTAAAGACCTCAATATCAGTCCGAACACACTGAACCTGATAGAAGAGAAAGTGGGAAGTACTCTACAACACATGGGCACAGGAGACCACTTCCTACGTATAACCCCAGCAGCACAGGCATTAAGGGCCTCATTGAATAAATGGGACCTCCTGAGACTGAGAAACTTCTGTAAAGCAAAGGACACTGTCACTAAGACACAAAGGCAACCCACTGACTGGGAGAAGATCTTCACCAACCCCGCAACTGACAAAGGTCTGATCTCCAAAATATATAAAGAAATCAAGAAACTAGACTGTAAAAGGCTAATCAACCCAATTATAAAATGGGGCACTGAGTTGAACAGAAAATTCTCAACAGAAGAAGTTCAAATGGCCAAAAGACACTTAAGGTCGTGCTCAACTTCCTTAGTGATCAGGGAAATGCAAATCAAGACAACTTTAAGATACCATCTTACACCTGTCAGAATGGCTAAAATAAAAAAACACCAATGATAGCCTTTGCTGGAGAGGTTGTGGAGAAAGGGGTACACTCATCCATTGCTGGTGGGAATGCAAACTTGTGCAACCACTCTGGAAAGCAGTGTGGCGG